TGAACAGTACTAAATAAAAACAAGAGCTAGACATTTTCCTAGACATGAGAACCGTATACTCTCGTAATTTAAATAAAGGGTTCAGTTCGGATTTGCCTGTAGGTTACCTAGATCGATATACACCCGAGGAAGGCCGGAGGGACCAATGGCCGAAAAGTTGTGAAAAAAACAGCAGAGATGAAGACAATAGTTCGAATATAAATAGTGTAAATAATACAAATGAAGGCACTAAAAATAAATTCTTTTAACGCAGGGAATGAAATTGCAGATCAAGATTAAGACAGTGAATTTAATGACATTTAAATTCTTGCTGAGTCGTTCAATGTTGAAGTCGGGCCATCGTTTTTCGTTATTTTAGGTCGTTGTATTTTCTTTATATTTCTCTTAATCGAGAACCAAATATGCCTTCCAGGGCAATAATAATAATAATAAATGGTTTTAATGAACGACTTCCAGTCCCCCATTATAGACCTTAGTGTATCCATGATGTAAAATACCTTAACATAATGGAAAGAAAGACCAACCGAGATGGCTGTAAGTACGCCTTGTCCCCAAAGAGATTATGTACCGTTATATCAGACAAGAAATTATATATAAATATGTATATATGTTGTAGAGTGGTTTCACAGTGGAGGCTTGTATTTGTACTAAGTCGGTCCTAAACCAGGTTCGACGTACAAAACGTTAGGAACTTGATATAATAGGTAATGACGCAGTAATCTAGTTGTGGTCGCTGATACTTTTAGTATCCGACTAACGGTCGTCCGACATCGACTGACTGACCAACGATCTTTAGTCACCCCGCCCCATGAGGGCATCATGTGGCACAAGGCCGGTTTAACGTGGGATCTCCGAGACCGTGGGCTCGGCCAAAAATATGCCCATTGAACCCATATAAACGGGTTCAGGGTCGGTTTACCTCCCGAAAGAGAATCCGCCCTTCGGTGTAGCCTCGTTCGGGTTCCTCCCCGCTCGAAGGCAGAGAGTTCAACCGACTGACTGACCGACTCCCTGAGCGACTTTCTACTACTCCTACTTATTATAGGTGGGAGAGTCTATTAACAATAGAATAGGTGTGTTCCACTATAACATACATGGATAAAAACAAAAGAAATACGACAACAGTAGAAATAGATTTACGTGGTTTATTTCAACAGGAACGTGTGGGTTTAGGACAGCTACCTTGTGGTAAAGTTCATAAGCCGGCTTTCGGATCTGGTCGATCTCTCATAGTAGTTCACACATGTTGACGGTGGTTGGTGCTCTCCTGCTGACAGCTGCTGAACGTGACCGGTCTCCTTTGTGGCCACCTGTTGACCTTCCCTGTGACCCCTTTTATAGCGTTTTTTTATGGCTTAACAGGCTCGAGAAACGAAGCAAGTATAATTAGGAGGGAAGCATTTTTATTGGACGAAAAATAGAGCACTTTAAATATTTTATTTTTCGACCGGAACATGTGTGTCGGAAACATTTGTGAAGAAAGATAATGGTCATTTTGTGACGGGGCTTTGTCCCGTTCACATCCGGTTCTCGCTCTTGAGTATTTGCCTGTAAATCAGCCGAGATATGTCTTTTTTTTATTTTATAACACTAGCCAGACAATGACTAATCCACATTGGTGTCAGTGTGTGCCAAGAGCTGGGAAAAGCCCGCTGCAACCTCACAAGAAAAAGAAAGGTGAGAGAGAAATGCTGTAACGGGAAATGCCGCTTCTGATATATGTGTTTAATCCATGGGTTCACTTCTAGCCTGGATGGGTTTGCAGGTGACACTCGAGATAACCACAGCCATTTCAGACTATCAGATCAGCTCCCCACCCCTCAACTCTTCCTCCTACCAACACTGCTCATCACGGCTCACTAATAGGTGGCATTGGAACTTATTTGAATGTTTTTGTATTAATACAGGATTTTATATTGGGCATTAATATCAAAAATGTAGAAATACAATTTGGTTCTTTTTTGGGCGGTGGGGTATTTAACCCTTAAATGACAGGAAAATGTTTCGTGTCAAGTGGGTCAGTCAAGTACCATATGTGATAAACACTTGGATGAACATGTCTCTTTCAATTTATGACTGACTAAGATTTCCTACAGTTGGCTGGTTGCCAATCAAGGCTAGTGGTCCCTATTCAACTCCTAGCTGGTACGAGAAGAGATAGATTTATACATTTTCCAAGGGTATTTCTGTGAAGGTGAATGTAATGAACCCAACTGAAAATCGAACTTGGCTCTCCTATTTCTTATTCCGAGCTGTTATCTATTGCAAACCCATCATGCACCCATCTTTTTTTCAAGTTGGTAAAAAAAAAAATGATAAAATTCAATTATCTAAAGGGATAATTTTATGTTTCTTTTGGGTTATAAAAATAAAGAAAATAAAATAAATTTACGAAACTAACATTTTTAATGCAATATTTTTAACAGTATGATACTCTGAAATATTTCATTGTGCATTTTTACACCAAATTGTCACCAATTTATCTTTTTTCTCTTTGAGAAGTATACATGTAGACATAGCATTGTCTTTAGCTTGTTCTTCCAGCTTTATTTGTAGTCAAATACTCCAGGAAATTACATAATCTTTTAAATCTTAGAATTGCTAATTAGTCATTTGGAGTTGAATCTTAAATGATTTTTGAGTTGTAAAAAAAAAAAAAAAACAAACAGCCCAATACTTTCTTTAAAGAGCTCTCAGACAAGAATAAATACGAGGTACTAAAAAGGAAAGTGAAAAGAAGGGTTCTAAAATATATTTACCATTTTTATTAAAAGCGACAATATAACATGGCATTAACAATGAAGTTTACTCTTGTCGGAGTTAACTCCTCTTTAATTTCCTAATTGTTCACTAGGGCACACTCTCCCTACACTATAAATACTGGGCGATTTCTTGCCTCGTTCTCTTTTTACTTTGTATTTCAGCGGCCACATTTAAAAATGTGATCTCTCTCAGAGATCTGCGTTTTGCCCACTTGTGGGAAAACGCCATGAAACACACACATACACGTACGTACGAACATTCATCAAAATACGGACTCTTTACGTTCACGCACAAACTCAAATGTTGATGTCTTTATCCATTGCAAATTTTTTGTTTAATTTATATACTTTGTATATATATATATATATATATATATATATATATATATATATATATATATCTCAGTCTTGTTTGTTTTCTTTACATATTGGTTGGACTCAACTTGAGTCCGCCATATTTTTTGTAGTTACCTTTTAATATTCTATCAAATTTTACAACACGTGATCCTAATTTAACAAATTGTAAATATTTGGTCCACTACACACTCTACAAAAGGACTACTTTTTGAGCTATGGTGAGGTGTTCAACTACCATCTATTAATATCTTTGTTCCCCATAGTGTTAGTCTAGACATTGATTGCCGCATGTGTAACTCTAAATCGCTTCTTTGGGCCAGACTGACATCTAACTGTGGCAAGGGCCTTAATTAATCTCAGTTTTCCCTGCTGTACCAAGGGCGTTAACTGACTGAACTTATCTGCTCGCTAGGTGGAGTGTTCTATCTAAAACCCTATAAAAGTTTTAAATCCTCAACTGATGATGTCTGCTGATCTTGAATTAAATATTAATTGATGTTTCCCGTCGTTTAAGAGTTAAAACATAACCTTTTTTTTAACGTGCAACTTTAATATTAACATTACCTTATCTCGAAAAATACAAATCTCTTAAGAATGGATACTTATTCAGCTCATGTTACTATATAAACATGGCTTGTGGCTGATCATAAACCTTTCACACGATACTAATGACAGCTGATACATTTGTTTGTTTAAAAAAAAAAAAATCGTGGTCGTATATTAAATAAAAATCGAATTTTGGTGAGCTTTTAAACATTTTATATCAAACTGGCATTGGAAACAACTTTTTTTTCAGATTGTAATACCATCTTCCGTCTAAAATGCAAACCACTTATTATGAGAAGACACTTCAAAAAACAAACAAATAAAAACTACTTTATCTATATATTTATGACTTTCAAAACCTTTATATTTACTTATCATCCGATCTTCCTACCTACATTTCTATATTTGCAAAACGAACTTGCAGTCTGCATCTAACTGATTTTATACATGATCTGCTAAAGTTATTTTCGTTATTTTATTTTTTTTTTAACTGATTATACTTATTGGCAGGTGCTTCTGAAGGCTGGGTTAGGTTTTCTGTTAAGCTATGCATTTCAGATGATTAAACAAGACAAGCCTGTCTGCATTTGTTTATATTTTTATTGCTTTCAGATATTTACACCAATAAAATACATATAGACATACCTACAGAAAATAACGGCATATATAGGCTATCTTGACATAGGCACTATATGTAAATCTATTATTTACCGACATCTTATGACTATATACATATGTAGCGCTGGTGATAAGATTGAATAACTTTTAAAAGGCACAAGATGGCTTCCTGAAATATTAACAGAAAATGAAACTTTTTTTTTTTATTTCCTTACAAGTCATTTCACACATCGGAAATAGTAGATAATTTGACAGACTGGCCTATCTTTCAAAATTCTCAAAATCTTAGGGGAAAAAAAAAAAAAAAAAACTAACATTAGTTCATTTTTTGTTTTTTTTTTTTTGTTTTCATCATTCAATTATTAGTCGGAAATGATTTCAGTGCACTCACGTTGCTACCGAATGTGACAAGGTCGAAGTTTATAGTATGTTTACCGGCAATACCGTTGAAATATTGCCCAAGCCCCCTCGGCACTGCCCTCTTTTTGGGGACAACTCAGGGGCCGGGAAATAAACCCAGCCCCTCCCGAAGGAGAGTTACAGTCTGCAGGGAAGGCCCCCTTTGGTCTTAAAATTTTTAACCTCCCCGACCTCCGAAAAGACCGAGGTAATTATATCTAATCTTTATCTTAAAGTGTACCAGAAAATCCTCAGGCTCGCCTTTAAAAGTGCACCATATCTTAAAATATTTGGCTACCACTCCTTTAAAATAGAGGCTTACGGCCATATCACGTTGAAACATCGGTTCTTGTACGATCACCAAGGTTAAGCAACATTGAGCCCAGTTAGTACCTAGATGGGTAACTACTTGGGAATATCAGGTGCTGTAAACTTGGATGTGTGTAATGGATAACGGCTGGGATTTGGAAATCGATGATCCGTGTTTGGATTTCAGTCAGGTTCGTCATATTCACTTACACGCAAATACCCTTAATCCACCAATTTTCTCCCTAGCTATGGGTTAATTAGTAAGACCTGTATCACTAAAACCATTGATATCACCAAAAAAAAAATCCAATCCCAAAAAATAATTTCTGGCTTTAAATAACCTGCAGAAGATTGATAAGCTATCGATAACTGATCAATTTAAAATAGCCCCTTTAAGAAAAGATCAATACGGGCTGCTTTCACTTTATACATTTGTTGCAGACTGGTTGTTGTGTTTTTATTAATCAGAAGGAATTTCGAGGGTGTGTTCTAAAACATTCGTCCACAACAATTACTTAGAACAAATCATGCAAATAAAGTTGGAAAAACAAGACAAAAGTTGAATGCATAACAATAACATTAATTTATATACAATTTAAATATATACAAATGAGTTGGTGATTTGTCGTATATTGGTGTAATAAGACATGTAGTTTGTTGTTGATTATGTTTGAATGCTTAAATCAATGTTTTGATGATTTATGGTAAAAGAATTAAACAGTTTGCTGTTCAACGTACAAAAGTGTTTGATTTTACAGTTCAAATGTTAATGTGTGTATACGAGTGTTACTGTAAATATTCTTAAGTTGTACGAAGTTGCGTACCTTGAACTGTTATTTGTTGAAAGTTTTGTTTGTTACTGTTACTAATTATGTAGTGAATATATATTCCACTTTCTCAAGTAAAAGTAAATTTTTTTTTGAGAAGTTTGTTTAAAAAAGAGATTAGTAAACCATTAGGTTGTTGAGTCAGGTTAATTCTTGAAAAAGTCAAAGTTTAAATTGGCGTGGAATTGGTTGGCATCTCTCCGAGTGTGGAGTCTGACTGGTGAATTGGACTGAATTTCGTCCTTTTATTTAGTTTGGGGAAACCAAAAGTAGGCTCCCAGTGTCCTGGCGCGAAAACAGATTTTGACCATGGATACACATTCTAGGTCGTCTCGACCAATCACAAGCCGAGTTTCACAATGTATGGTGTTGATTGGTCAAAGCTAATTCTTATAGAAGAGTCTACTTTTAACGAAGGTGAGTAGACAAACATTGACGATTCTATACATTAACTATCTTCATATAAACACTAATCAAATGAATAAATTGCATGCCAGGTGATATCACTTAATTTAAGAACATGCATAAAACACGCGTAGCTTAACGAAGGATAAGAACAATTCCTAATTATAAACATAACCAAGCCTGAAGATCCCTGAACCGAAGGGAAAAACTGAGTTACTATTAATTCTTATATTTATTTCAAGGCTACACACTACTGAGTACTTTTACTAAACATTTTTTAGTTCAAATAGACTATATATAACTAAATATGTGTGTTTTTTATATATATATATATATATATATATATATATATATATATATATATATATATATATATATATATATATATATATATATATATATATTTATGAATAAAAATGATAATAGGAAAACTGGTAATTGCTGACGCGTTTCGTCCAATGTGGACTTTATCAAAGCAAAATACGAAAATGAAATTAAATGAACAAAGTAACTAATAAAAACAAAAACAGAATGTACCTAGCAACTGGAATGTAGAGAAACGCTATTTTCATATTTTTTGCTTTGATAAAGTCCACATTGGACGAAACGCGTCAGCAATTACCAGTTTTCCTATTGTCATTTTTATTCATAAATATTGTCTTCTCTACTGGTTAAATCGGAGAAATTTTCATATATATATTATAAGTCATCCACAGACAGTTTTGCTAGGATAAGGGACAAATAGGAAATGTTTATATAAATCTAACAGGTAGGTTTTGCTTTTATTAAATCTTCAGAGAAGGAGATATAGATGAATATTTAATAAAAGCGGAACATGTTTCTCATTCGTTCCTTATTCTGTCAGATTTTGATCTCTATTCACATACAGGGGTTTTCAAAATCACTATGCGCTTATATTTTTATTAACAGACATGTTTCAATACAGAATACGAAAGGAGAATATGAACGAAAATTTATAAAACAATTTTCTTAAAATAATATTGGGGGTGAAATCTGAAATATAAAAAAAATATTAGAAAAGTGAATGCGATGGGTAAATTATCGCCAGTTTATGTTTGTGATTTTGTTGACTGCACGGTATAGTAGGGTCAGTTGGGCACCATCTGTGAGAAAAAGAGCATAAAAACGCAACTCACTCTGACAGAAATGTAGAAATGGCGTGCTGTACTGCTTGTCATTCATACCGGAAGCTCCAATACAAACACTTCAGAGTATTTGGGCGCCAATCTCAAGACAGTGCAGAGTATTCTGAAGGAGTTGGATGAATCTAATAGTGATTACGAAGGTGTTTGGCGTGACCACTAATGATGGCAACGTTATGCTTCCATTCATCTTCACACAGGACCTCAGACACAACCAACTTTATTACTATTATTATGACTGGGGCACAGGTGAGCGAGAAACCAATAAAACTCCTTGTAACACCAAAGATGAACTGAAAGCAAGGATTATGAATTTCAAGGAGATTCCAATGTCATCTAGGGTTGACATCAATGGCGATTTTATAGAATAGATTTACTCTTTAGTATTTCAAGATATTTTTGTGCAACTTTGGTAAATGTATCTGTTAAAATTACATGTCAGTGTTATTTACATTTTTGCATAATTTAGATGACAATTTATCCATCGCACACTGAGATTATATATATATTGGACTCTCCTGTCAGTTTCAACATATGAAGTTCTGACAACATAATTGATTCAGTTATGAAATTTTGTGCGATAATCTTAAGTGGCACTTAAGACCTGCTACTAATTTACAAAGGAGGCCACATATGGAGCAAGAGTAAGGATTGTGGGATGAGATCACTGTTAAATTGGCTGACCTTTTAGATCTTGCTCTTGAAGACGATTCAGACAAACTGATTGAAAACTGCTGACTCCACTAAAACATGTTGATCTCCATTCTACCTGATCCAAGGCTAAGAGCTTGAGGGCGTTATGAGGTATATTGACAGCTGACAAGTTGCTCTTCAGCTTGTCTTTGTATCTTAGCCATGGGTTTCATATATATACACACACACACAGTCTACCAAAAAATGTATAATAAATGTCAAAAAAATTGTATATTGTAATATTCCGACATCACAAGATAAAATTACCTTTGTACTCAACTATCACAAGAGATGCTTAAAATGGTGGCCCTTAGCCTAGAGACATATTAGTATGGCAAATTACTGCTTGAGCAACATTGGCCAAAATGTTCAATAGGATTGCTGCACATGATTTTTCTAATTTCTTGTCTAATGGCCACCAATGTAGTCAGTTGTTTTTTCTAATTCTAATTAATGTGTTTCTTCCCCAGCCTATCACCAAAGTTAAACAACATCAAGCCTAGTCAGTATCTAGATGGGTGACCACTTGGGAATATCAGGTTCTGTAGGCTCGGATGTACTAGTAGTGTAATGGATAATGGCTCAGAATTATTAATTGGAGAACTGAGTTCCAATTCCCATTGGGTTCACTATATTCGCTTACATCCAAATACATTTAGAGGGTAAGGTATAAATCCATTATTATCTCCCACTGCCAAAATAAATAGAATCCCATACAAAATATTTAGTTTTCAGTATTAAATAACACATAGCAGTGAACAGAAAAGACTAACCACCCTATATGTTGGCCAAATGTAAATGCTAAATCAAAAAACCAAAATAAAAATTAAAAAAAAAAAGAAATTAGTTTTCTGTACAAGGGCTCTGAGCATCAGATCTGGCCCACAAAACAAATCATGAGTGTTGTCGTCAAAGAAAAAAAAAATGGGAACTCAGGAGCCACCAGATTTGCTTTTAAAAAAAATCATTCATAAATGACCGAGACAGAACATGACCACCGAGCCAGCTGTTGACACCTGGCAGGCTGCTGATGTCACCACTGTGACTTCAGTCAACAAATACACCCTCCTCCAAACACCCATACCATGCCCACATAGAGATAATCCACTCACAACCACTGTATTACATTTACAATTCCTGTCTTTTCTATTTACATTACTGATGGTACTGTCATTTGTTCTGTGCTACCATACACATGTTTATAACATTGTTTCCTTTCCAGTTCACATTACTTGGAAATTTTTAAAGATCCGTGTCAATAGTTATCTTCTGTCTTCTTAATTCCTGTTCTTTTATTGTTCATTTAATAAAGTGATTCTTTTTTTCCTATTCTTTCACATTCAGTAACCCAATGCATTTTAGTGGCTTTATTGCCTTACTTGGGGGTGAAATGATTAAGAAAAAATGAATAATATAATCTCCAAATAAAGATAAAGAACAGACAGATTAAGAATCCACAGTTCTTAGCATATACTTTTTTTTTTTTTTTTTTTTAAAACATAGAGCTTAATACATATATAGATATAAAATAATATATATATATATATATATATATATTAATTTAAATAAAAACAGACCACTTTAAAGTTCCATGTAATAGATTTACACAAAAATGTGTAAATCTTTTCATAATTTGTTTGGAAGTAAAGTCTGATGATCCGCAGTCCTTTAAAAGGGCTGTGGTGAAATAATTTATTAGATGGAACTTTAAAGTGGTCTGTTTTTATTTAAATTATTTGCTCTGGATTTACATTGAGCTCTCTGGATTTTATCCTCCTTAGGTTTACCCATATAGATTACCTAGTTTTTCTTATATATATATAAAGTAAATAAATTTAAAAAAAAAAAAGGTGATATCAGAAAGTTTTTAGGCTAAGTTGTATGATTAGTATGGCCCAGGATCACAGACAGTTTTGAATTCAAAGTAATCCTTCTCTCAGAATGGTTGTCAATTACAGTTAGAGAACCCAGTGACCCCATAGCTGGATAGAAAGAAATACCTTTCCTAAGTGAATGTACCAACTTGACAGGAAT